CAAACAGACACACCACATCAGCTCACCTCAAAAAGGAACACCACTCGACTGCTTAGCTTAATCCCAAAGCATTGTCATGCCTGTAAACCTCCACACTCGTGCCCCAATTACACAAGCCCTTTGTATAGAACCCACAATGCCTGTAGCATCATGCGCATCATCCCACGTGGCATTATTAAAGTCAAATGCACCTTGTGAATATTTTATACCCATTTTTTCACACCTGAGTACGATATTCTCAAGCCTCCTTTCCTTTATTTTCTGTTACTATGTGCAGACTTTCTTTCCATGCTATCCTGATGCTTTGCAATATTTTTCTAGTCTTCTTTGCCTTCTTGTTTCACTCTCTGTCTATTACTTCTCTGTAAAACAAAATATTCATGCTTTAAAGCTTGCTTTCATTGCAACAGTCATGCAAGATTAAGTTATTTTATACCAGCCTAAAATAAAACAACAAACTAATAGGGTACTAAAACTAAATTCAAATTCTTTTTGAATTTGTATTCCCCTTTATGGCGGACTGAGCTATCTTTTGGATGAGAAATATCCAACAGAAGCTCAAAATATATCAGTTGATCATGCAAGAGTGAAAAAAGGGGTGATAAACCAGAAGTGAGAAAACCTTATTAAATATCCAATGAATGTCAGCTGGCCAAGGTAAATCCAACTAATGTAAGTTATGGAAAAGAAATAAAATGGTTACACTTAAAAAAACAAGCACCAAAACCATCATTTATAAATGGTAAAGACACCATTTATCAATTCCTAATTTATTTATTAATGTTTTTACTATTTTCAAAAGGTAAATAGATCATTTATTAAGGTATTAACCCCATTGATATTAGGGTAAGGGTAAGTCCAGCATGACAGGGCAAGTTAAATAAATAAAATAAAAAAAAAGGCTAGGTTCAGTTCTAGGTCCCCTGATGTTAGGTCTAGGTCTAAACTAAAATGGCAGGAGAATTTAAATTATTCAGATTAGTGTTAGGAAAGAAACCCACTGATGTTAGGATTTACTAACTTGGCAGGGCAATATGATCTATTTACCTTTTATAATTATTTTAGATGCAGTTTATAAATGATTATCAAACATTAATAAACTATCTGTTAATCATTAATAAATGGCCTTTTTACATTTATGAAAGAAGGCTAGTGCATAGTGTTACCAATTACTAATTACTGTAAAGGCCGTGATCTAGTACTGTATATTTTGTCTTTTTTTCCATTATTGAATAAATTGTATATGACACAATTTGAGAAAAGTGGGAACCATTTGGTGGAGCAGAAAACACAGAAAAACATGAAATTCTGAGAAAGTACATATATTTTCATTTTATTACAAAATGTACAAGTTGAAGATTTAAGCTAACAACTCAGTGCTCTAAACGACACTTTAAGAGGTTTTAAAATGGTAAACGTTTAAACTTGGCCCGTTTTCAAGTAATATCTCCCTCTGCCACATCTGCATATTGGGAGGAGAGAAACCCAATAAGCTCAATACCTTAAAGATTAACGGCAAAACAGATCCTTAAAGAAGATATTTCCTTTTTACAACTATAAAGACCTATAACAACTAATTTAAAAACTGCCCTTTATTTTATGCATGGGTAGCTTTTTAAAAAATAAGTGTTTTTTTTAGGAAAACTATTACATTGCATTGAAATTTAGGAAGACATTCGCTCTTAGAGTAAACTGTTTGATAGAGATCAAACGGCATTACGTCTGCAAAATAGTGAGTTCGTAGGGTGTGCCAACAGTGAGAGCAGATTGTTAAACCCAAGGTATTCCACCATTGGTCATCTACGTGTTGAATTAAATTGTTTTTTTGTTTTTTTTTGTTTTTTTTACTAAATATCACACACATCGAGGCAGGCGCAGGACATTCTGTGCTGTTTTACCTGCTGTCTGATCTGTTTGTCTTTTTTTGTTTTTTCCTTTCCTGCAGTGAGCCTTGATGACTCAACAAAGTCCATAAAGTGCTTGTTTTTAAATGTCATAGTAAATTTGTTGTGTTCAGGCATTTTGATCTGCTTCACTCTCAAGGTACTTTCCTTTGCAAGATGCTAACTTTACATTATTCACAAAGCACAAAAGTCCTTAGGATTTGCTCCAGCATGTTTGCATAGTGGATATAATGCATACCGGGCCTGCAGGTTATAAAGTAAGAAATACAGGTGATTTTTTGTGAACAGCATTGTATGACAATAACCAACATTCATTGATGAGATACTTTTTTCAATGCCAATGATGATATGTGGCTAATCAATTCGCACACCACTAGTTTTTAAATAAGATAGCAGGTACAATCATGTTTACATTTTACCCCTCAGCATACTTGGGCTTTTACCCAGCATGCAATGCATACTGGGAAATTATAATGGCATATATCCTTGGACTCGCCTCTTTACAGTTTACAGCTTTTAACCTATTTGTAGATTTAAAAAATCCATTAAAAGAAACCCATTGCTTTGACCCATAACAGTTTATGTACCTTCATGTCAGTGTAAGTGTTTCAGATTAGGGAAGAAAAGCAGAGGAAATAAACAAACACAACTGTGATGTTTACCTGGCTCTGAAAGAAACTCAAAAGAACTGGAGCAGAGTTTATTGATAACCCATTTGGGGGCCCAGAATACAAAAACCTGTGTTGTGGCACCTAAGAGGAAATTATAAATAACACAGTATTTGTTCATTTGTTTCCCTTTATGTACAAAGTTTCTTCTCATTATTAAGAAAATATATTAAAATCTTAAAAAGCCATTACAGTAAACTAGTTTTGCACCAACAATGGTACATGTATCCCCACACAAGATAATTGTGTTTCACCTAATATGGAGAAAAATTGACAAAGACAATAGGTTTTAAGATGGATTCAATTGAGTAAACGAAGTACACTGAATAAAATGCAACATTGGGGAGTTTAATACAGAACACATATTCATGCTATAAGTGATGTTAGAAAAAAGCTGTTAGAGGGAAGTTCTAATTGTGCATTCCCACCAAAAGCATTCTGGGTGCCAGATCATCTGATTTACATGCAAAGTCTATGGTAGACAGCTTCTTAAATCAAAACTAATTTCTGCAACCCCAGTTTACTGAAGGCTAAACATTTCCCCCCTTCTGCCTGTACTCTATTCTTATTAAAATATTACATATAAATAAGATATAAATTAGTTTCTTATGTTGACATGAACCCCGAGGTATAATGAGTTTCGCTTAAATAAGTTTCTTGAATGCAAACTATCCTTGGGTAAGAGATAGTAAAAGACATAAGAAAGTGGGATTTGCACAACGCATTTTGCAAATCCCAAATGTATTTGTATTTTAACTATTTTGTGCATGAACAATAAGCGGTGCACTGCATGAATGATAACTTCAATAAAGCCTTGGAAAAAGGGTTTAAAGTTTCAGTTCTTTATTCACAATTTTACCATTTGTATGAATGTTATGGCCTAAAAACCCTGTAGGAGGTTACTCAAACACTCTGTAGGGCAAAAGGCCCACAGCTTAGTTTAACATAAAAAAAATTGTCTCTAAGAACTAAAATCAAACATCAAATGTGTTTCCAACAGCCAATGTGATCAAGTGAGAAACAAATGTTTTTGACCAACATTTGAAAGACAGACAGACAGACAGACAGACAGACAGACAGACAGACAGACAGACAGGCAAACAGACAGACAGACAGACAGATAGATAGATCTCTGTAAGAGCAGAGAGATTTTACAAGGAGCTAAACAATGCTAGAGCTGTTGAAAACAGTTATAGAAATGCAGACACTATGTTCTATCAAAATGTCCTTTATAGGTCGTTATGAGTAAATGAAGCATCAGTTATCTAGTTTGGACACAGGCATATTTAGAGTCTTGGCCAGGTTGTTTCACAATCTATTAGCTGTCAAGTGGTAAAACATTTTTAACTTCCACAAAAGGGTTCAACTTAATAATTGTGAACACATGGTCAAAAAAACATTACTGAAACCACCAAAAAAAACAAAAAAAAAATCTCTTTAAAACTCTAGTTTAAGCTAAATCTATCAAATTTGATGGTTACAGTTTAATCTTTATGTGGTCAGTGTTTTAACTTATAGTCTATCCTGTGTGTGGAATGAATTACTGTTTTATGGTGATTTAACAATTTGGAAATATTTTTTATTAGAAAATCATAAAAAAAAATTTTCCTGATCATATGCTAATTCCAATTACATTTTTTTTTTAACTGGGGAAGCAGTTGTAAAGATGTGAGTATGGGATGCAGTCAGTAACTGTTGGAAGGGTAATTGAGCATTCTTAAGGGCAGATTATACTTCTGCAAACGCACACATCAAATGTTGATTGGGTCTGGTCATGAACCAGTTTTGCTGGTATGCTTTTTGTGACCATCTGACGCATAGTCAGGATTTTTTTGAGGTGGCCGACGACGGTTGCAGAACCTCTGCGCGGGGGGCGTGGTCGTGCACAGAGACAGATTTGACGGTTGCAGAGGCTATGCATCAGCAGCATAAATTGACCTTTACTGTCTGTTGTCCAATTATATTTACAAAAAAGGAATTCTCTTTAGAGACTAAGGGTCGCCACAATGAAAATTTGAACTAAAAAAACAGCTATGATCTGTAGGAGTATCATAATAACCATGAATCGGTAAATTACATAAACTAATTGAGACATTTAAATTTTTTTAACAATTGATATCTTCATTTGTTCTCCCAAGTTTAAACATTTATAGATATTTCTTTACTAAAAAGCGTGGCAACAACTATTTGTTGTTGCCAATCAGTCAAAAGGGGGATAATAATATCAATCAATAAGATAAACACCACAATCAACATTATACATTAAACTTACAAGCCAAAAAACAAGTGTAACAAGTAAAACTTTACTGTTTAACGACAAAATCAACAAGGGGTCTGTCTCCAGTTAGGACTGCACCTGTGCCCTAATTTAGTTTTCTCTAAACCGGAGATGGCTTTGTGTTCTCTCCATCTTGTCACTGTGCTTTACCTGGATCCATGGCCATCTGTCATTCTCGGCAGCCGTCCAGGCGTTGACCAGACCCTTCTTGTTGAGGCGTGCAAAGTATGGGTACCATTTCTGCAAGCCAAAGAGAGCACGGTGGGTGGAGGAGGCTGTTATCTGTTGGTTGGAGATTATACCACCCTCCATGCCCAGTGGTCCGGAGCATTCTGGGAAAGAAAAGAGAGAAGACAGATGAAGCTTTCAAAACAGGTTTCAAGTGTGAGCAGAATGCATTTAGATTTCCAAACATATCACAAGACTGCAGATGTAAAGTCAAAGAGTTTATTAGCTTTACTGCAATATATTTAATATAATCGCAAATCTTTACTGTTCTCCCTTGAGCCTTTACAAATAAATGAAAATGTTTGATTTGATTCAAACCTTTTTTTTTCCCCTTTTTTTCCCCCCTTTAACAGCACAAGAGCATCAAACAACTTATAATATAATTTTTTGGTCCCAATTTTAAAGCAAGAGTGGGAGATTTGTAAAAAAAAATTAAAATCAGGATTTGTATACAGGAAAATACCATCACTATGTTACAGAATTATAACCTGCCAACATAAAATTATAACTATTAAAAAAAGGAACTCCAGTTACGACTGGCCAGCTTTGTCTTTTTCTTAGTTTTTATAACTTCAAACAGCTTAAAGGTTAGACCATTGAAGTTAGGAATAAATGATTCAAAAATCTTCAAAAAAAAAAAAGAGCACGGTTGGCATTGTTTTCATACCTAATCTTGACTCTTGTTTCCAGCTGTACTAAATGTGAATCATGTCTGCTGCAAAAACATAAGGTAATTTGGTAAAGTTAATCCACTAAGGAACATGCTGCGCAGGAGAACACTGACTTTTTAGCATCTGTGAAAAGATTTTTACAACTTCAGGTAAAAATGGTGTAAGGCACTCAGGTAATACACAGAGGCAATTAGCACATTCCTTTTGCAATTTATAACAAAGAAAGACAGAAAACCAGATCATTTACCAAAAAAACTAAACTTATGTCTTGTTTAGCTTATTTTCTTAAAACAAAAGATTTTCTACATATACTGTATATCAGATAAACAGTTTTTCTCAAAAAAACCTAGTCCAAACATAGTTTTAGCCTAAAAGTTACAAGAATGCTGAGTCAAGACATCATAATTGCAAAGTTCTCAGTGTCAAAACATTTCTGTCAAAGCTGAAGTGTTTTTTCGGCTTTGTGGCATAAAAAACAAAAGGCATTACTAAAGTTGTTAGGAATTTGCCAGCCTGAAATAACTGCTGTAGAAAAACTGCTTGCTTCAACTTCTCATAATGCAACACTTTACTTAAGGCCTTCTACTTCATCTCCCATAACTCATTTTAAACTGCATCTGCATTAAAAGATATTAATTCCAAATCATAAAGCTAAAACAAAATGCTTCTTTTTTACTTTACAAGCTAACATAACTGCTCCGACCATAAACATCCGCCCAGACTTAGGGGCATTATTTGTCACAAATGCTTACGTTTTAATTAGACTGTAAGTCAGGAAAATAGTTGTCATGAATGCAAGGGATTATAGCTGAAGGGAGATCTTTGTTTTCAAATAAAAACTTTATCTGGTGCCTTTTCAGCAGTAATATCAGCTCTGTGCTGAGGTGTAGCCTTTATTTCAGGTAAATCAGGTAAGAAAAAAAATGCATCTGCAACAACTTGGGGAGGGTGCCTGCTATAAAAATGCATAAGTATTTTTTCAGTCTGAGGAAGTTTACTGCACTTTAATGATTACTCTAACATCCTAGTAATTTGTAATACTCAAACTGTTTCAGTATGTTTCATTTGATTGTCCATGACAGCTAAAGTTTTCACAGTAAAACTAAAGATACACCTGAGATTTTAAAGGACAGAACATTTTATTTTTAACAACTATCAAGGCCAATTTAAACAGAGGAAGACTGCAGAACAATGAATATATGCATATCTACAGGAGGGCATTTTGTTCAAGGAAAAGTATGTTTTACAGTTGCATATAAATATGTTAATAGATCCACAGTGATACATTTGAAGGTTTAATTTCTCTTCAACTCAATTATTTTCTTTAACTATTAATGAAAACCCAAATTCATTTTTCACCACACCTGCTGATATCCTGCTAGAAAATGAGATCAGCATCTCTGTAAAGCATGTAATCAGGGAGAACCAAAGAGGGCACTAAAATTTATCTGACACTTAAAATTAGTTAGACCACAGTGCTGACCATGGAATTGACACAGCGGACCAATAGCATGGAGACTGAATGGCTCTCCAAATCATTGCTGACTGTGGAAACATCTTGTTAGACTGAAAGACCAAACCGGCTGGGTCTTCATCCCTTTTTACTCTTTTTCTAAACTCTAAGACCTTGATTTCCAAATTAAATACAATATATACTTTTATATGAAAAGAGGACTATGAAAAGCTGAGCAAGAGCCAATTTCTTTTTCTCCTTAGCCAAGGTCAAAGCCTGTTATTGTCTCCAGTCCAGGAGTGGCTTAACACAAGGCATGCAATAGCCAGTATCCTTGATACTGTGTGTCTATGTGTGGTTCTTGAATGACTGTTGTGCCCTTGTTGCTATCAGCTTAGTTTTATATGATGTGCTTCACATCCATGCCTCTTGTTATACATTATATATATATTCTTTCACACAGTATTCCATGATATGCTTACATATCTGAGTCATAATCAACCCTTATGGCCAAATGTTTGCGGCAAAAAAAAATAGTTTCCTATCATTCGCCTCTTAATTAAAAGATTGAAAAAATAAACCACAGCATGTGAAAAAAGTCTTTAAAGTGTTCCACTTCAGCTTCAGATGGTTCTAAGTGCACCAGCTGATTCACTACCACTGAACAGCAAGCTTTTTAAGCAGTGACCTTTTATGGCTTTCCTCCCTTGAGGAAGGCACAAGTGACTGTCTGCTTGACAAGGCTAGAGTCAGCAGTCTTCTCTTTATTGATTAGCCCATGATATACAGAACACTATGTAAAATATATACTGTATACTTATTTTTAGTGTCATACATGATATTTTTTTTTGTTGAATAACTGGACGACATTTTTCAGCTGAATTCTATTGACATACTCCCATGGGTTTTTTTAAAGGCACTAAAATGTAGGCTTTTTGTTATCAGAGACAATAAGGATAACCTTTGGCTTGTTTATGAAGAAAAGCTTCATGACTAACTACTGATGAGGCAGTCTACCAAGCTGACAGGAAGAATAAGCACAAAATGTGTTTTTCTTGGAGAAAAGGGGCTCAGCAACAAAGCCGTTAGCAAAGAAGGGAAAAAAGCAAAAAAAAAAAGCTATGCAACTTTTTTTCTTCCAATAATGGTTGTCTCCTGAAGAAGATGGATTACTTACAACCATTAGAACACATACTACATGTACATGTTCATCTAAAAGAATAGTATCATTCTTTTTTTGACAGGCTTCAAGCTGGCATCTCTGAATTCAGCTATTATCTCCCTGTCCAGACAACAAAGTGAAGAATCTGCAAAACCTTTATTCTTGTGATGTAGTGAGAAACTTAGTTAAACCTCAAAATGGAAGTTTTACAGACAAATCTGAGTTGGTTACCTTGGAAGAAAGGCAGTTACTCCTCCATTGATATTTTCTTATAATTCTATTACCTATTTTCCAAAATACACAGCGACAAAAATTAAAATGTTGTTTGTTTCTTGTAAGCGCAGAAGGAAAAACACACTTTGTGGCATTATTTGCCAAAATAGAATAGCTTTGCATTGTCCAATTAAGACAAAATAAATATTTTCAGCTGTGTTAAAATGTATGCATAATATCAGGTTCATATCCAAGAAATACTTTGATTTAATTTCTGTGAAACAATAAAATAAAATGAAAATCAGCCCACAGGACTGACTAAAGTTACTGTTAAAAATGTTTTACTCAACATAAGACAAAACTGTAACTATTCTAGGGGTATAAAACCAGTTTCATTTAAGTAACCTAACTAATGTTAAACTGCTTTAGGTGAACCAGAAACGTCAGTTGAGCTGGATTCTTTAAGTACCATTTTAGGTGTTTATGTCCAATGATAACAGGAATATAAGTTAAAAGATAACTTTAAATGATCTTTTTGTGATATTTTATGTTTCTGAACATTTAATAAAGTCATTTGACAATTATTTGCTACTGTATTACTTGTTATGTGCTAAACCTCAAAGAACAAAATAGCTGAGATAACTTCAAAGTTTCCCAAAAGAATGACAATATATCTTGCAAAGACTTTAGTAAGAACCCAGTAGAGACAAGCAGACTGAGGTGCAAACTGGCCACTGAACTGAGTCCATTCAAAGCATCCTTTAGGGAAAGCCTGAGGCAATGGGCACCTGAAAGTTATGCTACAGCTCTGACTATTTAAACAAACTCGAATGCATTTTTAAAATCCTGTGCTTACACACAAACAGAAAAGGCACACACATAACCGAAGACAGAACAGTCATACAGAGAGCTATGAGAATAATTTAACTATGCAAAAAAGTCAAGAGTAAGGGAAGAATGAACAAAGAAAACAACCCCAACACCCCATATGCAGAAACTGTAGGACTCAAGTAGACGGGGGTTCTTGTAAAACATCAAGTCATGTCTGAAGACTTTTCAGGGAAGATTCCCTATAGGCTGGGAGATAGGAAATATAAAATACAAGTGTGTGTGTGTGAGTGTGTGTGTGTCATACATTCCAGCATGGTAAATCAATCCCGCTTCACTAGCTCATTCTGTGACTCACTACTTCCAGACTGGTGTAGGTGGATACACAGGCTTCCTGCTGGAGCTTTAAGAGGCAGCTGATTTTCCAATATCAAATAGATCAACTTAATTTGGACCGCCTCAAAACTCTGACTGAGTATAAACAGCTTTTATTTTTTGTTATCCTTATTAGAATAAAAGGCTTGGGGGAGATTATTATCATTGCAGAATCTTTGAAAACCACTTTATTCGTGAATAAGCCGGCACAGCGATCATAACAATGTTAGTGTCAATTCCAAAACTAATTCTGATGCATTACTTTTACCTCAATTTATTATTGAACATCTGTATCCAACAGAGGCCAGATAAAGCACAAATCGGTTTACATTTATTTTCCTGGCACTGAAAATACACCACTGCTATTTTTCAGTCGTAATGAGCTTTAGCTGACTGTCATTT